AGTACCAAACCCACCCCCCCCCAAAAAAAAAACCCAGAAAGCACAAATGAGAAACAAGCAATCCACACTCTCCCTAAAGGGACCCTTTCTCTCCTACGTGGTCCACTACACAGCAGTTCTGTGTAAGGACCTAGAACTTGCCCTGTATGGGAAGGATGGCTGAGCTGGCCCGGCCTATCACCCCAGCAGACCGACCCTGGTCTAGGAGGTTTGTGGAGGTCAGCAAATGCACTGGGCCTCCATGTCTGAGGCCTGGCTGCCTGGGTGCTTTGCAGGAGCTGCAGGGACATTGAGGGAGCTGTTGGTGTCCTGCAGTCCTGCTCTGGCCCCACTCCTGGGAGTTTCGTTCTGCAGAAGCAAAGAGGAAGCTGAGTTCCTCTCTGGCCTACACGGAGGTAGGACCTAGGCTGCGCAGCAACATGAGCATCACGAAATCCGGCAGGGGGAATAGTTTAAAACATGGGGGCCAAGGTGCTTAGGACACACCGATGGGGCCTGAGGGGGAAAACAGTATCAGTGGCACTTCTTTTGGTAAAAATACATTTTGGTCTATTCCTTGCCTTAGTATTTGAACACAGAATGACTTGACTAAATTATGTCAAAGCTCTAATTTGAGCTGTTACTAAAAATTCTGAAACTTAGAAGAAAACTACTCTGAGGCCCAGACATGCTTCCAATTCCTGATCTCTCTGTTGACACATGCTCTGTCCCACTCGCCAGCACTCTGTTCACAGCCCAAGATGAGACACTCTGGGGGTGGTGACTTTTCATGTAGGAAGTCACACGCACACCTCCGTGCCACCTGCATCCATCTTAAAACCAACCTCTCCTCTACCAGAATAATGATTCTGTCTGGGACTTTAAAAAAGAGAGACCCTGAATGTCAAGGTGTTATAAAAAGATAAAACACGCTTCCCACACGCGCACAGCCTCCTGCCCTGCGGGGCACCAGGAAGGCTGCGCAACCAGGTTCATTACTTGAGAGCCCGATAAACGCTCCACACCTGGAGCCTGGAGATTTCCTGGGCTCACATGGTGAGCCCACACAGCATAGAGTATCATCACACAGCTTGGTCATTACTGCTTTTTCTAACTTCTCATTTACACATGGAGTTAGGGAGCCCATGGTTTTAGCAGCAACTCTGTGTGTACAGAAAAACCACATTCAGGCTGTTCCTGTACAGAGAGTTACAAAGAAAGCTCTTTCCTGTCTCTTAGCTGTCAGTGAGGAGACAGGACCGAAGAAGACCCCCTCTTCCCCAGGGCCAGCATTCTACTCATCATGGGGCTCAGGATGTCCAAGCCTAATGCTCATCCAGAATTCTCCAGTGGCGGTCTCAGGACTTCCTGTGGGTCAAATAAGCATCTTAAAGTCATTTAACAGATTTGGCATGAACTTATGGATAAACATTCAGTATCTTTGGGGAATAAATCTAGCTGATTATAAACTCATTTTAAAATTTATGATCATAACACGTGGGCTGCTAGGAAGTTAATGGTCAACCAGGGGGATTCTCTTCCTTTCCCAAGAGCATCTAATAACCTGACATTACCAGCATTTGTTCTTTAGCGGAAAAGTTTACAGGAAGCATAAAGATCTGTACTGAACCAGTGCTGTTAGCAACTAACGCTTTCACGCCAGCTCACAAACCCAAGGGGCACCGATTCGACTTCCTCTGGGGAAGTTTCACGCCAGGGCTCACCACAGCCCTATGCGGGGAGCTCCCTGCTGGGCACTGAGCTTTCAGGGCAGCTGCGGCCTGAAGTGCAGCACTTCCCTCACATGGCTCTTGCTCCAGTGTCACACACTTGAGAGAGGTGCTGAAACTGTTTTACAGAGAAGGCATAAATTATAAGTAAATGGACAAATATATGTGTTAGGCTTTTAGTTTATGATTGATATCGAAACAGCAACTTGAATAATGAGATTTTGAAATAATTCATGTGAAAGCAATAACAAGCTGGGAATCTGCCACTCGATTATTTAATTTCTTCCTCCTGCCCTGACTATAAATCAAAACATTGTCAAAATTGCAGGCATAGTAAAAACTGAATTAAAAAATTCCTGGAGAATTTGGATTCAAAGTGAAATAGGTTACTTTTGTTGTCATTGTTTACTGTCATGTAGTAAATAAGGATGATCTGAATTGCAGGACCTTTTTTTTGGTACCCGGGATCGAACTCGGGCCCTTGTGCTTGTGCAGCAGGTGGTGGAACCACTGAGCTAAATCCCCAGCCCCCAATTGCAGGACTTTTAATGGGATTGTTACGAAGTGTTTCTTATGAGCAACGTGAGAAGCTCATGTGCTATGTTGTGTGTGCGGTACTCCACACTCCCTCCTGCGTCCATCCCTGTGATGGTTAACTGCTGCGTCACCTTGAACAAGCAACGCCCAGCTGCCTGGGTAGCACAGTTCTGGGTGTGACTGAGTGGATTTACTGAAAATGGAAGACCCACCCTGGGTGTGAGTCCCACCAGACAGCAGGCTGATAAACGAAGGCTCATTTCTGTTTCTCCAGAGGAGCTCTCGGCTTTGCCTTTGCCTTGGGTGTTCGCACAGACCCGTCAGCCTCCTGACAGACCTGCACAGCACACTACCGTGAACTCCGGGCCTTCAACCTTTGCCCTTTGGACGCTTTCACACCTGACTCCGTGGGCGGCCGCTGTGAGCCCATCATGTACATACTTAGGTGTTTGTATATCTTACATTAGACCTGCTTCTCGAGGGAGCACTGAGTGACACAGTGCCCGTGCCCACTCTTCGATGGACCGGGCTCTCTGAAGCAAGGACCATGTGATGAGCACCTCTGGCTTGTGGAGGACGGCACTGCCTGGTGACCAGCAGGGGTGCAGCCCATCCAGGCCTCTGGGTCAAGGGCTCCGCACTGCTTTCCAGCCTTGTATTGTCTTGAGCACCTGACCCTGGACACTGGTCCTCAACACTCATCTCCTCCATACACGTGTCTCCCTGGGTTGTGCCCAAATCCTAAACTCATTGCTATGGTTTGTGTCCGCATGTCCCCAAGGCCTCCCATGCTCAGAGGCGGGGCCTCTGGAGGGTGACTGGATCACAGGCCCTGCAGAGGACTTGCTGTCCGTCAGGAGGGGCCTGGGGGGAAGAGGAGGGGCCTGGGGGTGTGACCTAGAAGGCTCCTCCCTTCTCTCTCTGGGTCCTGTCTGCCTATTATGAGCAGCTTGCTTTCTCCACAGTGCTGCCTGCCTGGGAGCTAGCAGGCTGTGGGCTGAAACCTCTACACACTGAGCCAAAATAAGCCTCTCCTCCCATAAGCTGTGGGTGTCGGGTGTTGTCTCCCAGGGACAGGGAGTGACAGAGATGCTGACCAATATACCCATCGCCTTCTCTACAAGAATACTAGAATGGTGGTCCCTCACAGCCCAGGCTACCATGTCTTCCCCATTCTGCTGAGCCCCAAATGTCGGACAAGTTTCAACAGTCACTCAATGAACTCAGGATGTCACAGCCGCAAAAGAAACTGAGAGTTAGCTGTGTCAAGGTTTTCAGAGGGATTTGCCCCTGCACAGCAGTCAGCTGAAAACCTGAGGGGTGACAGAAATGTGTGCAAAATGACTGTGCATGACTTAGTCCCAGGAACGTCTGTCTTGCAGCACAAAGAGCTGTCATGAGACCCACATGTTCTCGTGTCCTCTTGGACACGCACTATTGTTAACATTTTCTTTTTCTTTTTTAATTATATGAGCCTGTATGGTTTTACTATGAGTTTTCAGGATTTAGGAAAGTTTTCAGGATGCAAGTTCTGTGTACATTAAAGGGGAAGAGGGCACTTTATGGTGTTTATAACTAAGGGTCTTTCACCAAGTGCAAGAGCACATGGCCAACCACACCAGGGCCTGGCACCCGGGCTGGCACCGAGCACCCATCAGTCTGAATTTCTACCCTTGCATTCCCAGACTCCACACACATGCACACACACGTGTGCTTACTGAAGGCTTCTTCATGTCACACAGGCAAATGTCTTACCTCTTCTAAGTAAAGCAATTCATTACAAGTGAGTGGAACATCTGGCCACTTTGTAAGGCTTCTATTTCAGTTCTTCCTGCAGTCCTTCTATTCCCGCTGAAATTGTTTCTAGGGAGGATATGTCATGTATAAAGTTCATTTTAGGGTCTGACAGGGTCAGACAGTTGCTGTGACCAGTGATCTTTCGGGGCCTGTGCAGGCATGTGCAATGGTTCCAGTGTGCTCCCCAGACTCCTGTGAGGGAATCTCGTCCCCAGTGCAGCATTGTGGAGAGCAGGACTGCAGGGTGACCGGGCATGGGCTCCGCCCTCGGGAAGGGGCCGGGCTGCGGCCAGGAGAGTGGGCCACTGGCTGCTGGTCACTGGGCCAGTTAGAGGGCTCTCCTCTAACTCTCACTCTCTGCTCCTCGGTCTTGGATTTCCCGGGCTCCAGAAAGTGAGCCATGTAAACTCCATTGTGTGTGATTTACCGCCTGTGGTGTTCTGTTGCAGCAGTAGCAGAAAAGAGACTAAGACTGTGCTTGTTTTACATAATGGAAACGAGACCTTGAAGAAATGAGGCACCAGAGATCGGAGTAATTCATGTATGGCAGTAACACAAATCACTGACATTCCAGATTCTAACACTGGTATGTTCTATGGCATCACACAGAAGTTGCCAGGAAATTAAAATAATGTGGTCTACCCCTTCTAAAAGAAAACAGTAACATTGCTTTTTGTCACCAGTCTGTTCCAGCAGAACTGTCTGGCAAGAGTGCCCTTTCTGAACTAGAACTCCCGTTTTCTTTTTCTTTTTCTCTTTTTGGTACTGGGGATCGAACTCAGGACCTTGTGGTTGCAAGGCAGGTGCGGTGCCACTGAGCCAAATCCCAGGCCCAGAATTCCCGTGTTCCGTGGACCCTAACGTGACCTCCGCCTTGGCGGACGCGAGCGCCTTCTGGTGGCCTCGTGCAGCAGGCTGACCTCTCCCCTGCAGGACTCACGGCCCCGAGCGACTGACCTGCAAGCCCGTGGGGCACCTGGCGAGGCTCCTCCAGGATGGAGATCCTCTTCTCCCGAGAGGGCAGGGCGGGCTTCTCGCCGGCCGAGTCTGTGGACGAGCTGTCCTTCTCGCAGCTGCCCACCAGGCCATTCTGCACCAGGGGCTGTGGCTGCACGGGCCCTGCTCCAGGCCTCTCAGCCTTGTCCTTCGCATCCTTGTTGCCTTGATGCTGCTTGGATTTGCTTCTTTTTCTTTTATTATTCTAAGGTGAGAAGCAAATGAGAAAAATAACAGTATTCAGCTCAGAGCCTTGAAATATAAGATGAACTAGAGATTTGGAAATAAGATCATCTTTTTTGGTTCTAGCGCTTTTAACAGGATGGGTAAAAATGCCTACATTTTTATTAACCACTCAGATTCATTTAAAGTTTTTTCTTTCTACTTGGGACTCTGCTGTATGAATGGTAACACAGTAAAACCTTGTGACATCCCTGAGGGAACCTGAGTTCAGTCTTGGTGTCGTGAAGCCCAGCCTGTTTCTTTCTTTCTTTTTTTTGGTACTGGGAATCAAACTCGGTACCTTGTGCTTGGGAGGCAGGCGGCGGATTGTTTTTTTTCTATTAAGTTTATTGGTACATTTTAGGTATACAATGTGATGACATTCATCATTGGAGATTTGCACCTTTACATAATCTCTCTTGGTTCTTATTTTTTCCCCCTTCCCTGCCCTCCCTTCACCCTCTCCATCCCTATTTACAGACTTTGTTTCCATTTCTTCATTTTCTCCTATTAATTCCATTCCCTTCCTTTCCCCTACCCCTCCCACTTCCCCTTTAGACTTTTTCTTCCTATTTCACATTATCTATTATACATTTTGATCCTTTATACTTTCAGTTTCTTACACCAGAGAAACTATTTGTTACACACGTGTGTCCTATTTATTTCACTTAAGACGATACCCTCAATGTGCACCCACTTAGCTATAAAAGACTCTAGTTTCTCATTCTTTATGGCTGAGTAGTATTCCACTTTATTAAAAAACCACATCTTCTTTATCCAGTCTCCAGTTGATGGGCACTTGGGCTGTTTCCAAGTTTTAGCTATTACAAACTGTGCTGCTATGAACATGGGTGCATGTATATCGCTGTGGTATGATTCTTTTAATTCCTGTGGGAAGTCACCCAGCAGGGGAACAGCTGGGTCAAATGGGACCTCCAGTCCTAGCTCTTTGAGGAATCTCCATACTGATTTCCACAGTGGTTGCACCAGTCTGCACTCCCACTAACAATGGAGAAGGGTTCCCTTCTCCCCACACCCCCACCAGGATTTGATATTGGTTGATTTCTTGATAGCAGCCATTCTTTCTGGGGTGAGGTAGAATCTCAGTGTTGTTTTCATCTGCATCTCTCGAATGACCAGTGATGTTGAACATTTTTTCAGGTTTATTTTCTGCTTTTACTTCTTTGTCTGAGAAATGTCTGTTCATTTCAGATGCCCATTTTTCAATTGGGTCTTTGAATTTGGGGGGTCTAGATAGTAGTCCTTTGTCGGAGGAATAGCTGGTAAATTTTTTTTCTCACATTGTAGGTTGTCTCTTAGTTCTGTTAGTGGTTTCTTTTTAATTCTTTCTGCTTTTGAGACTGGGTCTCACTGTGTAGTTCAGGCTGGCCTCGAAATCACAGCAATCCTCCTGCCGTAGCCTCCCAAGTGCTGGAACTACAGGTGTGTGCCACCACATCCAGTGAGCTCCTTTCTTAAGAGGTGATGGGTGAGGGAGGCCAAAAGGGAGCTAAGGCTCTGACATGGGGAGGCAGAGACCAGGAGAGGGCTGGAAAGGAGAAAGGCAGGTCCTCGAAGGCCAGGTGGCATGTGTGAAACAGGTACCACTAACCAGGATGTCCTGGAATGACCATCAGTGGTCAGGATCCCAGGCAGCCCCATGCGTATCCAAGCCAGCGAAGACCTTGCCACAGGTGATGGTAACTGCTCCGGGCTTCCTGGACTGGGGCTGTGCAGTCGGATCCCTGGGCTGCTCTGTGACCAGCCAAACAGTGTTATAAGCTTCATTTCACTACTTTGAAAGAGCACAACCCTTGGGACCCCAATACTACACTATGACCGGTTTTATCACATGTCTCCTAAAATGTCCTGCTGGTGAATATACAATGCTACCCCGGAAACTAAGAACATGCTGGTCCTGATTGTGCGGCACACTTTGTGTGGCTCTGGTTTTGTACCCAGCTGATGCTCAGTGCCCTTAACAATCAGAGGGGTGCAGCCCCAGCCACTGGGAACAGAGGCTGGGGGCATGAGGAAGCCCCGCCCACCTCCGGACCTGGCAGGACCAGCTGAGCACCAGCTGGCTTTGTTCTGCTGCGCACTTGGAACGGAGGAGTTTCTTCCTTCCCACTCCCTTTCTTTTCTCCTGAAGCTGCAACCACGCCCTGGCCAAAGAGGCGACCTCTGGCTGCAGGAGCATCTGGAAGCCCTGACTGCGAGGCTCTGGGCGGTGGTGGCAGAACCACGCCCGGGTGCCGCAGCGGGCTGCTGGTGTCACTGCGGGTGCTCAGAGGTCTGCCGTCGCTGCTCCAGAGGGAGGAGCAGGGCCAAGCTGGGCCCGCAGCTGCTGTCTGCATCGTCTGTTTTCACCAGGGAAATTTAAAACCCAAATCACACATCTGAAATTTTTCCATGTAAAGATAAATACTGCCTTTCAATCACTTGCAAATCATCTTCATCCTGCACAGAAGCCTAAGCTATGATTAAACACGAGCAGAGACTAAAAAATGACATACAAAGATGAAAAAGACCAGAAGAGGAGAAAGGATGACTCTAGGAACCCGGCGACCTTGGGACTGTGTGGAAGCAGCCCTTCTTTTCGCGCTGGGAACCTGTCCGCAGACAGCGATTCCCGCGGGGGAGTCGTGGTTGCTGGAGCCTCACTCCCCAGAAGACCACCGCAGGGTCTTCCATCACGTGCGCGGGCAGCTGTGCCCAGTGACAGTCTCCACGGGGCGGAGGAAAACTGCCCGCAGTCCTCAAGGGGTGGTACGCCAGCACCGAGGGCACTGTCTGGCATTTTCTTCTTCTTTGGTACTGGGGATCGAACTTGACCTTGCGCTTTTGAGCCAGGCGGCAGAACCACTGAGCTAAATCCCCGGCCCCTCTTTCTTCTTTTATTAAAAGATCTACCTTATTTTTAGCCAGAAAATCCATCTCAGGGTGGCCTTGGACAAATTCTTTCTATTGAGAACACATATTTGGAGGTGTTCAAGTATCTACAAAACACTCCTTTTTTTTCCCATCCCATTTACCATGGGATATATTCAGGCAGGTTAATGTCTTGAATGATTTGAATCCTCCAGCTGGGTTCCCCTGACCCCAAGAAAGAAACACAACTCTGGAACTTGCTAAGCATGTCTGTGGTTGAAGACGTGGAACGGGAAGTAAGGGCATTCACAGTGAGGATGGCTCAGGACCCGGAAAGCTTTCTGGGTGTACACAGTAATGAATTTGAAAAAAGCATAAACTGGCATCTTTGTTAAAAAGGGGACTATGACGGTCTGATCGAAGACATTACTACTTCACAGTCACATTACTCTTACCTTCCTTTTTCCTGTCAGATTCCATTCTTTCAGAACTTGAACTGCACTGCCTAGATAAAGACAAAAAGCTTCAACAAATAACCACATAATAAAACCCCACACAAAATTCATCTCTGTCTTTCTATCTTAGTAGCAATTTTCTTTTTGGTTTTTTCATCTGTTTTGATACATTCTACCTTAATGAAAATGCCAGTTTCATTTCTTATTTCCCAGATTTTCATTTAATTCACCGCACAATCTTGGTTTTATCAAAATATTAAGCTCCACTACATGAAACTTACTTTTAAAAATCATTATATTGTCTTAGGGAAAATGAAATACATCTTGAGAATTTTCTGATGTCTTTACTGCCATAGGTAGAATTAAAACTTTTGTTTGATATATGAATAAAAATACCTACAAGCCTCTGAGCCAGGCAAAAGTTCGTGAATATTACTAGCCGGGGATCAGCACTCTGCATGGGGACTGCTTCCCTCTTCCTGTGTTTATTCATGTTCACAGCCTACAGGGAGACGACGGGAGCAGATCCTGCCGTCAGCTTCTGCTTGCCATGGACAGGACGGCAGGACTTTCTGAGGCCGATGAAGTTCACCAGACGGCAAACTGGGCCCCAGGTCCCGGCCATCCCATTTACACACAAGCAGGAAACTGCACTGAGTTGGAGGAGGAGCCTGGCCTGATGATGTCATGTGACGTTTTAAAGCGACATTTAATCACTGGCCAGTTACAGCATTTCCACATAGGACAACCAATTTCACTCCTTCTAACTGTTGGGGCAATTTCGACAAGTTACTAGGAATGAGTGTATCAGTTATTTTTAGATGAACAGGTACTTTGAAGAGAGTAACCCTAAAAGATTTAGCAATTTAAGCATTCTCATATGATCTTACCAGACTAATTGCTCTTTACAAGGAGGATGCTGGGTGAACAAGGATAAGCTTCAGGCCAGTCTTTGTAACAAGTTTCACAATAGCAGGTCCAGTTGAAACTTGCAGTCACTGACAGGTAAGCAGAAGGCCCTACTGCCATGTTTAGACAGGCTGATTATTTTTATCTATTCAAAGTTTCCATTTCAATGCCTCTCTTAGACTTGTGTGTACTTGAAATAATAAGATTGCACCTTAACAGTAAGTTATAATTCAGACTTTTTATTAACTGGGATGATCTTTCTCTAATTTGCCTGGAGAATTAACATTTCACAGCATTTTCCTGTTGAAGAGTTATAGGAAGTCATCTTCATGAAGTTTCCTAGTAAGTCACTCGAGTGGTCATTAATCATTAGGGTTATTCTTACTTATAGTCAAGCTTTCATTTTACAAGTAAAACTGAATTTTAAAAATTGTTAAATGCTGTTCTTTTTAATCAGAAGAAGGTGAGTTGCTTACTGTTTTTGCAACTGCAATATTCAGTTAGTCCTCTCATTTTCATGTGACATAAATTCTACTTGTAATTTGGATGATGGGATTATTAAGAGTAATTCTGTAGAAGAAACACCCATATTTATAGAGGATTTTGAAACTGTTACTATTACATTTTAATTACATCAAACTACTTATTTAGAATTTTTAAAAGCCACTTGGAAACAGTTTTTTCAATATGCCTAATAAGTGACTCTACATAGTTTCAGCTCTCAGTGTTTTTTAAACACGTTTTCGTATTGTTTCTTGACCACCATGATATGAGGTCCTGATGAATTTTCTAACAAATCTCAACATGGACAGGGTGAACATGGACGTCTCAAGAAGGCCCAACAAGGTGCTCCAGTTAGACCGGAACAGACCTGAGACGCCACTGATGACTGCGTCTGTGCTGCTCATCGGGCCTCGGCAGTGGGGAGAGGGAGGAAGGAGGGGGCAGCCTTTTTCTTTTGCTAGAACTTTTTTCCATAAAGTGCTGTGGCCAAGAGAAACCTCAGAAGGGGATTTATCTGAGCCAGGATGAGCTCATTTCCAAAAAATTTTTTGAGACAAACTACTCAATGCTCCAAAGTCAGATTAATATTATATATCCTACTATTTGTTTCTAACTAGTAATGAGTCTACATCTGTTAGTTTTTGGAGAGGGGAAAAACTGAGAAAAGTCATGTACAGTAGATCTGCTTGCAGGTCTATTCTGAACGACGACCATTCGCTAATCCAGTTAGAGCCCTGCACCTTGACAGCTGATATCAGAATGTGAACAGTTGCTTGAACCTGGGATCTTGCCCTGACATGCAATTATACCTGCAGAAACTCAAGAAGGTTCCTCTACTCCTCGGAAAATAGGCAAATCCTACTGTCCTCAACAAAGCATATGCAAGCTGCAGCTGGGACATGTGCTGATGCACACGTGGCCCCTGCCTCCTTCCTGTGATCCCGAGTAGCAAGTCCATGTTTACAGAACAAATGAACACCAGGGCAGAAGATGTTCATATCAGAGGACCGATAAAGGGTCTTTGTTCAAAGCTGAAACTTGTTTAATTTGACTGGGGAGGAGACTTCCCCATAATGTGCAGAAAATTTAAGGCTTTAAGTTATGAAATTACAGGATAAACACAGTCATGAGACTTTAGATTCTGTCACATCCCTGGCAATGGTCTGTTTAAAAACAAAACAAAAAAATTTTTTTTTTTTTAAGGAAACAAAAAGGTTTTAGAAGCAGGAAAAATGAACAGACATTCTGAGTTCGAGGTTCCGGTCATGAAGCTGAGCAGAATTATGCTGGTGGGAAAGGTAAGAAAACCTCCCAGGGTGACAGTGATGATGCTGTCCTCCATTCGCAAGGGTGCCACCAAGTAAAGCATGTGTTTAATGACAAATTGGAAGGAGATTTGCAGCACTGCAGCCAGTAACCGCTGTACACTTATCTTTGTAGTCTTTTGTTGATTTTAAAAAGAATATCCAAATTCTCTTACTAAATATGTCTGTGTTCTTAAAGTATAGCATATTTTTGTGAGACGTATTAGGAGCTAATTGACATTCAGTTGATTTAAAGGCCCCCAAACCTAAAAAACATCCTAATTATGGGTGACTTAGTTCCAGTATCTTCAGTCTCAGGGAGCAGGTATACCCACCATCCACAAAGGCCTGCACAGCTTTATCCACGTTAAAATCAAACTGTTGTAGCACCAGAACTATTTCATTATTGCTTTTGTTGGGAACGACTGATCTAACTGCGTAGATCTGTAAGGAAAAAAAGAAGAAAAGAAAGAAAGGTAAACACTTTACATATGTTTCATTTGTAACTCTCCCACTGGCCAGAAGATTGCGAGAGAGGCCTGAGGCCTCTGCTCTGTCTTCCTCCTCCAGGCGCTGCAGGCCAGTGCAGCCTCGCATGATGCTCACCTCGATAGCCCTCCACCTGTGCGCACACTTCCACAGAGGCCTCCTTGTGGGCCAAGGGGCCAGCTCTGGCTTGGCAGCCCCCTTCCCCAGGACCGAGACACATCCAAGATGTGTTTTCAGTGAGGACACAGCATTGATGTGTGTCGGGCTTCCTTCCCGCTGGCTCAGGGGCACCTTTAAGAGTGTACAGAAACAGCCTCGCGCCTCTGCTTCTCTAGCTGCACAGTGGAAGCAGTCATGGTGGGGTCACAGAGTAGGCATGAACCCCACTAATGTTTATCAAGATAGGCAAATGTGACCACTCTATTTTTAAAATGGTAATCCTAGCTATAATCCAGAAAATGATCTCAAACACACTTCTGAAAAGCAAACATTTAAAACTGTGAAAGTAAAAACATAGATGAGCTAAGGGTTTTGATAGGTATAAGCTTATATTCAGTGTTTGATAACCTATATGCATTTCTCCCTAGAATGCAGCAGCAGTATTCTTTTTTGTTACCTATTTGAATTAATTGGCCATTATCTCAAAGAACTTGGGATTATTACAGGATGCTCTGTCTATTTTAGCAATGCCCAGTTCATCCTAGTTTTCTGTGAAAAGGATTTCAGTACTAACAAATACTAGATTCCTGCATTATTCAAAGGTAACGGCTGTTAAAGCCCCGAAAAAGCTTTGCTACCACTCTCACTAGTGGTCAGATTAAGATCAACGAGTTTTAGAGTTAAATGGAGTTGGATGTAATCAGATTCATGAAATATGGATTATACGGGCTGCAATGTGCAATGGGATGCTATTGACCAGGATGCTTAATTGAACAATACAGTTTCTTTCTTGACTATGTTAGAAACAGGCAGCCTATTCCGTATAGTATATAGAAGTATTTGGGTTATAATGAAAAACAGAAAAAGCTATGAAAAACATGACTCACAGAGGTGTTGGCATTATTGATTAGAAATTTGGTTTTGAATTGTGACATTGGTAAATGCTAAATGTGAGTTTTTACCAGGACTGTAATATACATTATATATATATATCTCCAAGATTCTCACATTTAATGATTCTTAGTTTTCTAGGCTCCATTAAAAACAGTAAACAGTAACTCCTTTAAACCTAGGTTATTTCTTATTTCTTCTGTATATCATCTTTCCAAATCCAATTCAGTGAGTATTCTTTGAACACCTATTGTGTGATGAGCCACCAAACTTCCTGGAACTGGAGGGGATACTGACTGCATGATCACACAAGTTAACATGCAGCTGTGCATTGCATACAAGCACTACACAGGCATTGATGGGGCACCTGACTTTATAGTGAGAGGAGACGGGTGGGTGGGAAGGGGAGTGCACTTGGGGCAGAAGCAGTGACAGGAGCCAGAAGGGGCTAGAAGTGAGTGGAGGAGGTGGGGAGAGGCTGCAGCGGGTGGAACCAGGTCAGGGTCAGCAGGAGGCTGGGCCCCTCAGGGAAGGGGCCCACTGAGCAACCCTCAGCCGCCTTCCACGGACGTGACTTTCCTCATTCACTCACTGTGTTAGCAAGATAGTTGTTTCTCTCTCATATATCTTTAAAAATGCATGCATCCCAACCTGAATGGTTATTACAGTCTAATAATAAATAAGTCTGCCCGAAGGTACCACTGCACTGGAGTTGCATATACGAATGCACATTTGTCTTCTAATACATTTCTTTTAAATAAAATTCTAGCATTTTAAGCCACTGTGGATTGATCCATAGTCTATAAAATTTCTTACTATTATCATTATTTCCACATCTAGTGTGCCCTTCTAATACAATGTCTAGTTATTAATTACATCAATTACATTATTGTTACATTAGATCAGTTTTCAATCTACCCACACAGCTGTGAACAATAAAGACCCAGAATTATGGAACAAACATCGAATTGTTCTCCCTGCTTCCACTCTCTCCCCTGAAAAACACAATGTTTTATTAAGTAAAGGCGAAACGAAATATAAGGCAGTGCTTATAGAGACACTTCCTTTCTAGGTGTTTATACTACTTTTTCCCAAAATACAGCCTCGGTCAGGTATGTACAGAAAGCATTTTCCATATTTCTCGTTTTCTATATGCTAGCTCTCAACGTATCTTTAAAAAAATGGCAGTAACTGAGTTCTGCTATCAAATCTAACTATGGAATTCCCAGAGGACAATATTTATTTTACACAGGTATTCCAAGGTTTACTGAAAGGAAGGAAAAAAAAATACTTTCTGTCTATTTATGGCTATTCCACCGTGAAGTTGAATTCTAGTGCATTTCCAGGAGGGCAGCCACTTTCTGCTGTGACCCCCGGGCTTGCTGAGCCCTGACTCAGCAGAACCCCAGGGAGGAAGCCTTCTGTCCTAAGGGGCACCCGTCAGGAAGCAGTGTTAGCACGGGGTGTGGGAGCTACCTGGAGTCACAGCGAGGCCGCACTCCAAGGCTGCCTCTGCATTGGAAAGGAGCTCCTGGAGGACTGGCTCTATCGGTGCATGTCTAATGGGAGCTTGCATATGAAGGACTAAGATTCATATGAAGGACTGCCTGCTGGGCAGACTGCTTTTGGAGGCTTCACACCAAGGCTTTCCTCCTGGCCACACCCCAGGCTGGTGTGGTGCAGCTGTGGCCTCAGACCCATGCTGGAAGCTGCTGTGCTTGACTGAAGCTCTGCAGGACTCTCCTGCCCACCGTAGAATGGCCCACAGGGCCCACAGGTGGCCACTCAGGCTGCTGGCTGATAATCAACACATTCAGTTAGCAAGTGCTTTACCTTCCTAAAATCACATTCCTCTGTCTTGCTTCTTCTAGTTTAAACCTTATTAGGCAAATTCAGTTTGTGCAGGTTGTTCTGAGTTTTCTTTTGATTCCTTCCTCTCTCTGGGGCTTTGCTCTCTGGCCCCACAGGCTCTGACTCACCTGGCTGCCCCAGCTGAGCAGCATGGCAGGGTGGATGAATGCCACAGCCCTGTCAATGGATCTCCTCATTCACATGGTGCAGTTTGGAGCCTATCTGTGCTGAGCTCTTAGGAGCTCTGCTGGCTTTCCTGATGAGCCGTTAGGCTGTGCCTGAGTCCCAGGTGATTCTAACCACAGTGACTCCACCTCCACAGGCTATGTGAACAGTAGAGGCCCAGCACTGTCAACTGGACCAAACAAGAAGCCAGGAGAGTTCTGCCCTGAGAAGGCAGTGCCTAGCAGTGGAGCCAGACACATCTGCAATGACGGAGTAAGGAGTGGGAAGTGTCTCCACAAACCAGGTACCGTGGCCCCACCGAGAAGCGAGCAGTTCTGTTTGCCTGAGGAGGGGAGAACTCTTTTGGGAGGGGACAGCCACGTGCCACAGAAGGAGCTTGGGGTAAAGCACACCTGTGTTCTAATCTTGGCTCCCCGACACGCTAGCACTGTGATCTTGGGTGAACTACCTAGATCTCTGAAACTTGGTTCTGATGAGGATGTTACCTGTACGAATGTAAAAATGGAAAGAGACAATGTGTGAAAGTGTTTGGTACAGAATTGGACATATATTAACTGCTCAATAAATTTCAAGCACAGAAGAGTGGCAGCATTTATATTGGGCCACGAGGAAGGAATGCTCAGGGCGTGGCTCTGAAACCCCAAGAACCTGGGCCTGGAGTGCCACTCTAAGCTCGCTAGGGAAGGTGGCCCGAATACCTCCTCTCAGGGCCTCTTCCTCCACAGCCTTGCTTCCCGGCAGTGGACCAAGACTCTCCCCAAAGCTCTTCTCCTACAGCTGCAGGTGCCACAGGAAGTCCATCTTTGGCCTGCCTGAAATGTGCTTCCATCTCCCTCTTCTTCTTTCATTCCATTATTTACCAAATGTTCAGCACTGCACTAAGGCATAGACACAACAGTAACAAAAGAAATACTGCCAAACTGAAGTCACTGCTAGACCTAGAGAAGGAAACAGATGTAAAAACGTAAATTGAAAATCTACATACAGATGCACCTTGGCTAACAACAGAGGTTATAGCCAGATAAATCCATCATTAAAAAATGCTATACACTGAAAATGCATTTAATATTCTTAACTTAGAGAACACCATATGTTGACCCAGCCTGCTTTAAACATGCTCAGGCAGTTACATTTGTCTAACCCAAAGCCTATTTTAAATAAAGTGCTGACATCTTAATTTATTGAATCCAGTACTGAAAATGGAAAATAGAATGGTTACATGAGCACTGCTTTCATACCACTGTGAAGCTGAAAAATTGTAAGTTTGAAGCTGAAAAATTGTAAGAGCCATGATCAGTTGGGGACCATGTGTAATGGCACCTCAGGCCTGCAAGTCCTACGAAGCAGGCAATGAGACCACACTGCAGTGAGCTGCAATGCCAGGCCGTGCCTGGTCTGAAGACAAGTGGACCAATCAGGCTCCCTACCTTGGGAGTCTCGTCACTTAGTACGGAGGGAGCGAGCCTGACTGGGGAAGGACAGGCCAGGCTCAGAGGTGCTATGCCAGGTCCACGCTGTTGCCTGGGTTTCCCAAAGTCCCAAACACCTCACCAGACCTGTGTAGTGGCCTCTTTCTTACTTGCCCTAGCGTGAGAAGGTTTTAGTGAGTGCTTGAGGGCAATATTAGCAGACAGGATTGGAAAGAGAAGTAATGTAGCCAAATAACTCATCTAGTTGGCAAAGAGGACATGGAAGATTTCAAAGGCAAACCCAGTCCAACTGTGAACGGCTCACGAGTGCTGCTCAGACCCCCTCGGTGTGTGCACTGTTGTAATTATTTACTGTGTCACCATTTGCTCCACAAGGATGAGCTCCTGAGTGGCAGGGCCTCCAACAATGGGTGGCATTCCGCAGATGATTCATGATGTCTGTCGAATGGCTGAATGATTGAAGGAATAAACAAAAGCAGGGAATCTAGTACAATGATCACTGAAGTACTCCCAGATTTTTAATCTGTTTTTTTTCGGTGCATCTCTATAATTCAGCACAAAGTATCACACAGTATTAACAGCTGAATGGATTCTAGCCAGGATGTGTGCAGTGCCTCTGAGGTCCCACGCAGTGTACACGGCTGGTGCCTGCCTTAAAGAGCTTGCAATCTCAGAGCGAGCTCGATCTCATCCTCTGCAATAAGGACAGCAATCAAACAGCTGGCACTGAGAGCTGGAATTATTTATGGGTTTGCCATTCTGCAACTTTGAAAGGAATTTTATAATCAGCTCTGGTCACATTTCTCCAATGCTGACCATTCAGAGATGCCTTGAAAACAGCTCACCTGTGAGCGCTCTGCTTCCCTTGCTGGGCCACTCAGATTATCTGCAGCAATGAAGGCAGCTCTCCCATGAATCTTCTTGGGGAAGGAAACGCTTTGCACACCAGTTCCTCTGCATCATGGCTAAGTCCATGGTTTCGCTGCCCTTTCTGAATCTACTTTCTGCCAGTAAAAGTATGTATGAAGTATCATGTTCAACTTGGCTGACTTTTGGGAATTAATACCAGGGGTACAGATCAAAGTTAACTTGGGGGGGAAGGAAATAAGCATTAGAAAGAATGAAGATTTGAAGAGAAAAAATGGAGCTGTGCTAGAATCAAAGAAAGTTTGACCCCAACTCCCTGGGCATTGGACTGGCATGTGGCTCTTATTCAGAGGCTTGGGGTGAGACTGCATCTCTAGTAAGTGCAGAGGTGATGTGGATGCCACCGTTCAGGGATGACCAGGCAGAACAGTGGCTCCCCCACGCCTCCAGACCTGGTCCCTGTAACCTGTGAACATGAGGGTTATACAGATGGCGCGACCTCGAGGCAGTGGTGGTGTCATCTCACTATTTCAGTGGGCCCAGTACAATGACAGAAGCTTCTGGGTAGAGGGCCTAGAGGCAGTGTTAGAGTGATGCTGTGTGAGCAGGACTGCTGGCCCTTTGGGGACGAGCTGAGGCAGCTCCCAAGCTGGAGCGGGCACGCGGAGGAGCGTGCGGCCACGCTGGCACCCTGCTGCGAGTGCAGTGAGACCCACCTGGACCTCTAAGCTCCAGAACCGTAAGGTGAGATCTGCTGCAGCAGCAATGAGAAACTAATGCAAGAGGCCAGCCCGTGGGGAGCATGTGTCCCAGTGTCTCTGTTCATAGGGAGGTGTCTTTCTTGACCTCACTAACTACCCCTTGTTTTAAGTACACCTTCCAGATGGCGCTGCCCCCAGCAAACACTGCGTGACTCTAGCTGTGCGCTCACTCAAGCTAGCGTTGCTGAGGGGATGAAAGGAAACTCAACCCGACACAATCTCGGCTCCCCAGACCTGAAAGAAAGAGCAAGCGAGACAAGGTGAAGCCGTCCGTGATGGCCAACTGCAGTCATTCTGACAACACAGCCCCAGCTCCCGCCCATTCTCCCTTTTTTCCCTCACCAACCCAGGCAGGTGCCTTCGTCTCTCCCCGGGACTCTGGAAAATGCCTCCTGATTGGGTTCTCTGGCTTGGTTTCCCCTCTCTCCAATCCACCTTGAAGCAAGCACTGTCCACAGTTTATCTTCCACAAATGTCCGAGCACATGTACTGATGCAGGGAAGGAGCCGGTGTGGGGGAGAATTTGCAGAGAGGAGAGGTAAGTTACAAAGCAAGACCCCAGAGGAAATGAGAAATGTTACAAAAACTCCATACGGAAGAGCAAGCTTTGGAAGGGAGCATTTATTTCTTCTCTCAAAATTTCAAGAGAGGAGGAAAAGAGGAAGGGAGAGCGAAGAGACATAACAACTTGAGATTTCGAAGAAGGAAATTTCTGCAAACTATTCCTCTGAATTTGATTGTTGGTTTGCTTTGGAGCTTGGAAGTGGAGAAGGCTCAGGGCCACCCTTGTGGGAATGAGACAGGAAATGGCTCTGATGAACAGAGGAACGCTGAGCAGGTCCGAGGGAGGAAAGCTGCCCAGCGCGAATCTGTCAGGGAGCCAGCTGGCATGGCTTCCCCGGCAACTCTGATGAAGCCAGCGCAGAGCCCAGGGAAGCAATGGCCCAGGGGTACAAGCTGTAAGGAGCAGTGCAGGTCTTTGGGCTCTGGGATATGGGGCCTGGTATCATTCAGGCCGCTGACCAGGCTCTGAGGGCGATGAGGGTTGACGGACTGAGGGACTATGGAGAGACAAAGGGAGAAGATGTCCTGCTGAGAACCAAGAATAGATGTTGCAAAGGACCAGAAAGGCTGAAGATGAGATGAAGATGTGTGAGCTGCGCTGGAGAGGCAGTTAGGTACTGCCAGTCTTTGGCCCGAATGTTGCCTTCTGGTGAGCTAACCCTTCTCCCACAGCCCAGCCCAGCCCAGCCCTTCCCTTATTAAAAGAACGATGGTGTCTCCTAACTCCACTGTGATGGAGCAGGCACATGCTCCTCCTCAGCAATGCTCCTAAGCTGTCGTTTCCCAGCACCCCATTGGGCTGAGCAGAATTCTCTGAGTGTTTCCTGCTAAGAGCACACAAAGTGCACTGTCCCTGAGGATGGCCCCACTCATCTGCCACGAGTGTCTAAATGGAGTTAGCACTTCCTGGAGCCACATCAGTGACCGGGTCACATGGGCTCCCTGGCCACTCATTCTCCCTGCTCACTGAGCCAAGGGTCCCTGTCCTGCACCTGTGTGCTGACCAACACAAGGGCAGGGTCTGACATCCACCTCGGCAGGTTTCAGGATTTGAGTTCTCACTCATCATCCTGTCCAGCTGTTATCCTTTGTCACCGCAAACAGGGAATGCATTAGCCACTCGTTCTGAGTACAAAGGCCAGAGTATCACCGAAAGAACTTCCCTCAGAGCTGATACTGATCTTTTAATCCATGCTCCTCTGTTTATTCAGTCAGTCACAGTAAACAGACTGCAGAGCAGGACCACAGTGACGTGCACATTCCCTGACCTGCCTGGAATTTGCAGTTCTGGAAGAGACGGCGATGAACGTGGTGAGAGAAGAAATGCAGGTGCTCTGTCATCTGTGAGGAACAGACACCCTCACTCTGCAGTAGGGACGCCCTGAGGACTGAAGTCAGTTGGATCCGAGAATAAAGGGTGAGCAGCACTAAGGCAGAAGAGCAGGGGAGAAGAGAGGCCTCCGAGAGGCACGCGTGAGGAAAGGAGGCACACAGCTCCAGGAGCACTGAGGGTCACAGCCAGGGGACGCAGAGGGGAGAGAAAGGTGTGGGACAAAGGGCACAGCCCTGCGAGTCACGTGGCGAGGCCACTGGAGGGCTCCTCCCGGAGGGGGGGAAGTGGTGTGTGCACACGTGAGGTCACGGTGGCCTCCCCGTGTGTGAGGTGGAGGAGATCAGAGGATGCAGCACAGTGCCCAGGACAGGGAAAGGATGAGGATGGAGCAGTGTAGACACTCACACCTTCCCGGGCAGGAAGTAACTGGACACAAGGGACAAGGAAGAGGAAGCAATGTGGATGGACAACTCTCAGGTTTTGGCTTGGGTGTCAATGTCGTGAGTGGGTAGCTTCCTGGGAGGGAGCCTGCAGCGGACACAGCACTGCACCTGAGGTGGACACTGGCTTCCTTCCAAAGGGGCCTGAGAGACAGCTATGTCCAGACATCCAGAAAGCAGCCAGACCCGGGACTCCGGGGCACCAGGAAGAATGAGCCAGCGACAGAGGTTCAGCTCTGCTAGCCCCAGCCCTGGCTGCAAACTGGAACCACCTGGGTGAGTTTTAAAACTACAGCTGCACCCCACTCCCTGGACAGTCAAATCTGAGACTGAGCTTTTCTAAACTTTTCACTGTGATTTTTAACGTCCGCCCAGCATTGAAGACTGTGAGTGGACAGACAGATCGCTACAGGAGAGTAGGTCAGGAAAGGAGAGAGGCTGGCCCAGGACAAATGTCTTTTTAGGTAACAGCTCAAGTCGTAACTAATTTACCTGAGTGACTATTACTCTTCCACCATTTCATTATTTATGTGGCATCAGAATTTCAAAACTATCCATCCTGGTTTGGAACAGTTTTACTTTCTGTAAAGTGAAACTGTCCAAGAACGAATATATTCCTTCCCTTTCAGAAGGCACCCAGGTACCTACTGTGCCTAACAAGCACCCCGAGCCTCGCAACTGGGAAGGAAGGGTGGTCTACTGATCCCTGTCTAGCTGGTCTGGGCTTTGGGAGCTCTGGCCCAGTGGGTGCCTGGGGCTCTGGTGCAGGTGAAGGTGGCCGTCTCCGGGCATGGCCGGGGATCTCTGTACGCTGGGTCCCTGCTCATGGGGCGGGCGGCCTCGGCACAGTCTGACTTTACATGGCGGTCAGAGCACCGTGCAGGAGCCCCAGCCAGTGAGAAGGCAGGATCCTTCTGAGGTCACTCACTGGTCAGCAGTGAGGAGAGCGGACCCAGTTTCCCCAGCAAGGTCTCAGACTCCATACCTAATACAGGAGTGTTGCAGTCCAGGCGCCCGCAAAGGAAAAAGGTAACAAAAGCAACAGCCCAGATTTCCTTTGACCTAGTCTGTATCTATACTAGCCAATGAACATTAAAAAAAGCGTTATTTTAACCGCTATTAAAACACTGAACCAATAGTTTATGTTAGATATAAATAAGTCTAATAATTTGTAGCATAAAACATACTCAGACAGACTTTTCACCTATCTAAAGAAATAGTAGAATTAAAACAAAGTATTTTAAATCTTAACTTAGTCAGTGATACACTTTTCATATTGAATTTCGACGCTTAATTAGCTACAACCCTAAGTGGCTGATTTTGGCCACTGTCCCTCTAATCTGCACCGAGACGAACAAGGGCCTGTGCACCCCTCATTGCTCCTGCACTGGCACAGGTCCAGTGCACGCCCACGGGCTTCTGCATCTGTGCTGAGTCTCCCCATCCCCAGAGCGAGCCCTGGATCCCTTGGAGTCTGCTTTTAGCCAGCTGGCCGCACCCACACATGATCAGGCGTAGGTATATCCCACCACGCTACCATCTCTGACAAATTCCATATTTTGACTTATTACTGAAGATGAAAAGCCAATGCTACTTTCACAAGACACTTTGTTTTGGTATTTTAATTGTGGTAGAAAGGGAAGACACTTTTATCTTCTGCTTCTAACCTGGAATCTTCAGTAAAATCTTTATTCATTTTCTTTGAAATTTAAAGTCTCTACTTGGGAAAATGGTGATTATTGACATCCACTCTTGCTGTAGGGTTATTTTTTCCTTTCTCATTCACAGAACTTTTCAGAGAAAGAATACTTTAAAGGCATAAGTCACTATTGCCCTTTAATCAAACTAGAATAAAAAAGTTAATTACCCTTTAGTCAATACAGTGAAAGGGAGTTAGTTAATCTCTAAATTATATTAGCCTTGGATGACTCTTCACTGCAGCATGGAGGCAGCAGGCCATCTACACATCACAAAGACACATTTTTCCTTTGAGTGCTCATTCATTCATGCACACAGCACTTGTCTAACAGGTCTGGTCAATTAAGGAGAAGGCCCAGGCTTGGCCGTCAGTCTGAAGAGTCACCTGCTGCCCAATTCTTGTTTTCTTATTATTTTATAAGTTTATTCATTTGTTCCCTCCAAAGAGCGTAAAGAATCACAGCTAATTTGTGCACTCGGCCTTGGTCCCGTAACTAAAATTATAATTTGAGCAGAAAGTATTTTGTAAAAAGACCCTAACAACGGTCCCTCAATGGATGAGTGCATGTATGTGCAGTGGGACATCGCTCAGCTTTAACAAATCCTGCAATATGCCACCACATATCTGCACGGACCACTCTGACAAAGTCACACTAAGGGAAGTGAGCCAACCACAGGACAGATACTGTATGATCCCACTTATGCGAGGTTTCTAAAATAAAATCACAAAAGCAGAGTGTGTTGGTGGTTTCCAGGGCCTGGCAAGGGGAGAAAGAAGGGTATGAAGCTTCATGTACACATGAGTGAGCTCCAGAGGCATCATGCTGGTGGTTAGCAGTACTGTATTGTACATTTAAAACTTTAGGAGGATAAATTTCATATTAAGTGTTCTTACAACAATAAAAAAGAAAAAGCCTTGTAAGTTACATAATTGATCCTCAGCCACCATTTCAACACATTTTAATTGATAATTTCTTTTAAAGGCGGAGAAGCAGAGTTCTGGAGAGTCCCAAGATAGCAGGGTATGGATGATCTGATCAGATTCCTGCACTTTATAAGAAACTGAAGCACAGAGAGGTTTCTGTACTACGTTCAAATGGAGGCCGCTACTGACGTCGGGACTAAGGCTAGCTCCCGCTTCTCTGTTTCGTGGCAGTGTGCTCTGCAGTCTCTCATGGGGTCTACAAGTCAGAGAGATGGGGAGGTGCTGGAGGATCAGCCTTCGAATTCTCTCATGGCAGATGAAGACAGTGCAGCCCAGAGAGCTGACACAGGCATCGAAGGAGACGCCTTTTCAGTAGATTTAGTCTTCTTTTGTTAATTGTGGTTAGAAATAAGGGTATACTTTTAATTAAAAGTGATTATTAAATCAAGGTTTAGCCTGGAAGTGGAGAAGACACTCACCTCATAACAGCAGCAGTATGGCTCAGCTTGCCAAGAGAAGAGAAATTCCATAGTTTGCATTTTCATTTACTAAATATGTGAGAGGAGTGGTTCTCAGAATTTTTCATTCTTTTCAAGGAATGCAAAGACATGCTTTCCTCATGGCTGATTTCCAAGAATATGTATTCCAGTTTCCTTCTTAAAATGCACAACGTTGTTGCACCCTTGCGTGTTGTAGAGGCTGCAGGAATCTGCTGCTGGAAGCACGGTTGGTGACAGCCCTGTCCTCACTTCCACCTGGCCTCCAGGAAGTTCCTGGTCAACAGGTGAGGTGGCTGTGCTATCCCTGTCCATTTCTGAGGTACATGAGAGTCTTCTGAGTGCTCCCCATCAGCCTGAGAAGGACTCCTTAGTGCTGCACTGCAGTGACGCTCCAGCTTCTACTACATTCCTGTCCTCAGCCACCCTTTCCGAGACATCAGGCTGTGTGGAAGTCTGAACTTTCTCCTCTTTATGGTCTATGACCGCTACTTCCTCTCTCCCCATCCTGATATACCTCTTCTACTCCTATTATATCTTGGGGACAGCTTCTTGGAGGACTCAAAGGAACATTACATCTGTCTTTTCCCCATTGATATTCTAACACTTTCCCTGACCCAGGAGGCGTGTCCCACTGCCTTCTTCCTCCTTATAAATTGAGATTTACCATTATAGTATCTTGACTAAATTATTAAACTAAATATTGATTAATTAGCACATATTTTGGGAACATAACACCTATGACATAATTGTAGGAGCTATTAATAAACTAATTTTAGTTTTAAAAGCACTAATTTCTTATCTGCTTAGAAGGAGTTTGTGATTAAGTTGTGGGTAAAGGACTTACAGAGAAAAAATGGTTTTTATAATATACGCAGTTTACTTTCAAGCGCTGAGTCTGTCATTCTGTCTATACAATCTATCTGAACAGACTATTATTTCCATCCTATCATTTTTTTATCTGTAAAAACTGGATAATTTTATATGAAGGATCATTGTTAGAAATAACAGGGATGTTGGTAAGGTGCCTATAAATTCCGAGGGATTGCCAACAGAGTTACTTTTCCCACCGTCGAAGGATTTCATACTTGACACATGCTTGTGCTTGTTAGCATCAACCATCCATCTTCTACATGCCTCTCAGCCCCAGTGCAGAGGACTATGATGGGAGGCTTCAAGGAAGGGGCTGGAGAAGCCCAACAGAAACCCTGTGCACTCCAGTTATGCGGCTCAGCAAAAGCAATGTGATGCTAATCCTGCAGTAGTAAATTTCTTCTTATCCCCTGAAACTGATGCTGACGTTTTCATTTATTCATTCTGTTCCTTTAGACTCCTTGTCAAATCTCTTCTAGTTGCCAAGCAACGATAACGGCAGTTCTGTACATAAGCATTAGGCAATAACTATTGTCAATGTTTCTCCTCTCTTTGAAAGGGAAATTTAATGACCTTTTCCTATGAGAAAATGATGACAAGAACCAATCTACAATGAAATCTGAAAGCTGTGTGGCTGGTGTCCTTGCTGTTGAAATCCAAGGATAGAGCTAAATTAACTTAAATCCTCCTGCAAAATTATAAAACTAAGATTTGCCCCGAAGCTTGCACAGTTTTATTTTTCAAAACAACTGTGTATCATTAAAACTTGACCCAAGTCCTGAGAAATGAGTTCTCTGGTAAATAGAGAAATGCTTTAAAGACAGGTGACGATGGGTTTCTTCCTCTGGCCCTATTACAATCTCTCCACTCAAATGCTGGGCTTCTCTGACTGTACCCCACTCACAGGTCTGAACTGCATGGCAGTATTTTGTAAGACATAGATCAAGTCAGTTACAGAAAAGAGTAATGAAATGGGGTATATTTATCATAAAATAATAATGTCTGTCCACCCGTTGTGGAGGATTCTAGGACACAGACCCACGAACACCTCCATCTCAGTCACTAGGAAAATGCAGACAATGGCCCTCTGGCGTTTGGCATGGATATGCTTCTCTCTTTCTCTATCCTCCCCGTCATCTTAATGACTCTGCACGATTACTGTTTACAGTCCAATTTACCTCGAAAACTTTAACATCTCTGAGGCTATGCATAGTAAGTGGCACAGCCCAGCAGCGATATCATAGATGGAGCTATTCTCTATTCCATATCTTCATACTGTCTGCTCAATTATTTTTTGCGAAACTCAGCAACAGCTATCAAAATTTGAAAAACAAGTCCACTTTTATGTTCTTTTTCTCACTTGGGCTATTTATTTATTTTCTTCCTAATCTTGGTTCTACATGAATTTATATTTTAAATTCCATACAAAATGTTAACTAGAGCTCCTTTTTCCATTTTCAAGTTGTAAAATAAGCAGACAAGGTCCCCAGATTCTCTGTAGTTTATATTACTGAGTGCTGGGAAAGGATCTCCACACTTATCTGATGGCTCAGTGAGGGGCCTTTACAGTCAGGTCTAGTGGACTCATTAGGGAGAGGAGGCCCAGGACAGGGGAGTGACTTGCCCGGGCTGTTCAGCGAGCCCCTGGAGAGCCAGCAACCTCTGCCCTCTGTTCCCAAACTCCACACTCTTTCCACAGCCCCACCTCACTGTGTTGGCGTAGGGGCCTCTCATGACTGGAACGAGTTACTGCTCCAAAATTGGACACTCAGTACACATTAACCCCACTTTACAAACAAGGACTCCCTTTACTTTCCATCACCAAGTCTTATTGCTGAATTGAGTCCAATTTAAATGGATTTATAAGGAAGCCTGAAAATTATGTGGCAAAAGTTCTATTTTGTTTATACCAGTTCTAATAATCCTTTCTTATTCAGTTGAGAGTTACATTTAAAAATGTGGAAATCAATTCAGCTTGGTACCCATATGTTTCAAGCAAGAGATAATTTAATTCATTATCGACTAACTTGTCTATGAGCTTCTAGCATTAAATTTCTTTCTACAATCATCTAGAAAAGAACTGTAAAAAATGAGTTTTTCCCTAAATATCAGATCCCTGATTAGCTCCCAGATGAACCCTTAATTAAGTGAGGTTTGGGAGAATTCTGTATTTTGTTTGGGGAGAATATGCTTGCTTAGCCAACAACCCCAACTGTTACCTGAAACTTACCTGAGACCACTTGTATTTGTTAATCATCTCATAAAGATGCTACTCTTCTACAGAATGACAGGCAGGCAACCTAAGCAACCCAAATTTCTGTTTTCAGAAGCAATTTAAAACATGCTTTAATAGCAAAGAATATTAAAACGAGATGACATTTCCATTAACCATTCATTTGTCACTCATTCATTTACTAACTCTGACTGCAGGGCCAACTGCGTATCAAACCCAAGTAGTGTAAGACCTAGTCCCTGTCCCTGAGGAGCACACAGGCTCACCAGGGAGACAGAGACAACTTAGAATCCCACTATGTGGAGTAACCGCTGTGATGGACAGAGCAGAGAACCCCACTGAAGTACACGGTGGAGAACAGAGGCCAGGTAAGCAGTTCTGGCAAGGGAGAAAAGGGCCCCTCAGGGGAAGGTGAGTGAGCCCCAGGGCCCAGAGGAGGACATCCCACCCAGAGGAACCACCTTTGCAGCAGCGCAGTGACAGACACGTTCGAGGTTAGCTTGGCTGGACCAAGGGGGCGTGTGGAGAGGTGGAATCAGACGAAAGGGTAAAGGGACAGGGTCAAAGCATGCAGAAGAGGTATGCCATACTGAGAAGATCAGACTTTGACTCCAACATTTCCAGTTTAATTCCTTACAGTTGCAACCTAACAACATAAAGATATCTTCAATAAAACTATCATGAACAGTGCCTATTGTAAGCTTCATTTGTCTTGACTATTAAACCCATTAGCTCCTTTTTTGGACAAAAAGCTGCATGAGGACAAAAATTATTTCCTCACCAAAGCACCTACTCGCGTTCAAACCATCCAGTTATGGACCCACTAGAGATAAACTAACTCATTTCACTGCAAGGCACTTATTATTTAATTTCCCAGTGCTTGACTAGATGTTGTGTCAAAACACTATATAGATCTCTTCTCTAATCTCCGAAAGCTTGTAATTTAAGACATAACAGTTATTATTCTTAATTTTCAGAACTGAAATGTCATGCTTTGTGTGACAGACTGAGGACAAACTAATCATAAAAAGGCCATAAAAGCTAATAACTAAAGGAGGCAAGTGTAGTAAAATAAATCAATGTAAAATTATGAATGATCAGAATTTTCGGTTGTTTACCACGGTTTATTTCAGAGTTGGAAAATCTATTAACCATTGACATGGAAGGTGCAGTTCACTAGCTGAGTGAGGGAAGCTCTCCTTTCACTGTCATGCAGACTGACAATATTTACAGTATTTACAGCCTAAACCTCACTTTTACGGAAGTGCAAAGGCAAAACATCTCCTGTGACTCTTCTTATGGGTACCTGATGATTCTCATGCTCCGAAGGATGTGGCTAAGCCAGGCCTGGAACCTGCACACTGAACTGTGTGGGTCAGCCTGCTTCCCTTTGTAGGTCTGACGCCCCCCTCTCTGGAATGAGATGCTCTAATGCTGGCTGCTCAGCCTACTGTGTTGGTTGCTGTGAATCTGATTCTTTTAAGTGCTTTTTCTTCCCATATTCCAACTTGAGGGGCTGATCAATCCCACCCCCAACAGGCAGTTGGAAAGGGGCCAATCTTTGGCCTGCACTGTGCTGCCTCACCCAGCTTCTCATGCAGACATGAGGAGAGCAAGCATCAGAGCCATGCTGTCAAGGGGGCAGCCGTTCTGCTGTGGTTTCCTCAGTCGTCAATAAGCTAACAGTTTTACATTAAAATAACAAACAAATACATTATGGTATACAAGAGATTGAATAATTTTAAGCTAACATATAGGCTCCAAAGAAACTGTTGTGTAGGTGGAGCCGGTGTGGACCACGGCCCCAGAGACATAGAATGGGCAGCCTGTCCTGTGCCTGGGGTTGGGGCAGGCCCTGAGAGGCAGTGATACAGGGGTGAAGCACAGACTTGGGGACAGGCACAGCCAAGTCTGGACGCCTGCTCCTGCGACTTTCCTGAGTCTGACCTTGACCCAGTTGGGTCTGACCTCCAGCCTCAGTGTCCTCACCAAGCAGAAGGCTGCTTAACGAGAAGACTTACAAAGCATGTGGCGCAGTCCTGTGGGGCCGGGGAGAGCTTTTCAAACCACATTAGACCAGGTCACGCAGCTCATGCAACTTCCCCACCGCAAGATTTTGCCCTTGGAATTGACCTTCATGGCTCCAGTACAGGTTTTCAACTTATGCTACACAGATCCCTCAGCAGTCTGCCAGGGCTTTCTCAGGACCGTGTATTAAAATTCCTGACACAAAATGCATTTGATTACAAAGGAAACCACTGATGCTAAAATATAGCTAAAACATAATTAAAAAACCAAATTCATGCTACAGTAATATATGCGTCTCTATTAATGCAAACACAATGTGTGGCAAGTTCTAGAACTACCGTGATTTTGAAGTAGTGATGAACAAACAAAATCTCTGATATCTGTAACAAATGCAATTTGATATGAGAATATCTGTAATCTCTAGCCCTGAACATCACAGGTCTTGCTGCTGCTACTGTGGGTTTGTTTTCCCCTTTGTCTACATTTGTGATGGATGGAAATGCTGTTTCCTTTAGGTGTTAGTGGTGATAAAATATATTTTTATAAGGCAAGATGCACGTGTTCCCACCTGCGCCCGCGGGCTCCTGGATGCTGTGCGTGGTCCCCTGGTCCACGAACACTTGTGAAGCGGCGCCCTCTGAGCTCAGCTCCCATCTCTGTCCCTGCTCCCACACTCTGGCTGCACTGGCGCTCCATCTCCAGCACCTGCTTCCTGCTTCTGCTCTTGGGTCTATCCGGGACCCTTTGCCTGGATCTGCAGCTGGTTGCTGCTTTCCATCCCATCTACCTCAGCATGAATGTGACCTTCTCCGGGGGCTTCCCTACCACGCCCTGGCATCACACCATCCCTCCAGGTCTCGCCCGCAGTCGTTATCACTGGGAAGTGGGGCCCATCTGCTTCCCTGCCCTCCCCGTGAGCTCTGTGGGAGCAAGAACCCTATCTCCACATGCAGGGCCACTCCCCAGCATCTCCAACAGTGTTTGGGTCCAGTGTATCTTCCTAAGTGAGATAAGAAAATAGCAAGGACTCCATGGATGGTACGTCTCTCATCCTTCATTGCATCCCTGGCACGGTGGGGTTACACAGAGACACTCCTTGAGAGGAGGTCTAACGGGGCAGAGGGGGAGCCTGGGGACAGTGGCATTATTACAGGCAGCTAAATTAGACAGAAATTAATATATGGTCAGAGAGGGACTGGGCCTTAAGGAAAATCAGCAGAAAAAATACAGACATCAGGATTGTGGCTGGAGGCACATCTGAAGGAGGCCAGGCCTCAAGAAGGAGATGCAGTGGCCAGGCCTGCATGCCTCCCTGAGGGATAACCGGCAAATTGAGACTGTACTGTAATTAGCACCGCCTGGTCCAGGAAGTCCAGACAGGCATGAGTCACCCAGCTGGGTGACCAGGGCACCTGGACCCATCCCTCCCCATAATGCCTTTGCTCTTTCCATGCACCCTTGCTCCGTGACCCGCCTCCCTACTGGAGCAATATTAGCTAAGCGGCTATACTTATAATCCTGTAGGTTGATGGTAGTTTGACCCCCGAAGTACCCACATTGTGACTTTGCTGTATAAATTACCCTAGACAAAAGGCTTCCATGGCAACCCACTTCCGGGACCCCTCCTGTCTCTCAGGGGCTATCTCTCAATAAAATAAACCTTTCCTACTCTTAACCTCCTTTGTCCTTTGGAATTCGTTCTTTGATTTCAGGGGACACGATCTTGGCACATCTGTTATCTAGCAGGTTGGGAGTTATATTTTCCCCCATATCAGCATGAGCACGATTCCCACCCAGCTTTTGTGCCCAGCCCCATGACCATGGGCAAATCACTTTTGGGGTCCCCTGTTCCCATGGCACTAGGTGGATGGGCTGCAGTGCTCAGTCACTAAGAGCCAACAGTACCCAAGAGGTAGCACCTTGGCCAGACAGGGATGCTAGCTGTCAGCACAGAAAGCTCCACAGAGCGGGGACTTGGAGAGGCGACTAGCCTCCAGCACGATTTCCCGATGTGTGGACTCTCCTGGTGAAGGACAGATGGACCACCAGGCAAGGCCCTGGCTCTCCATGGTGGCTGTTCCTGGAGAGGTGATGTAACGGCCCTGCTATGAGGACCAACCTCTCGTGGTCCAGGAGGACATGAGCACAGGCTGGCACCACCTGGGCTCAAATCCCAGGTCTGGCTTACTGGCTCTGTGGACTTAGTCAAAGTACTTCTCTTTTTCTCACCTCTATTAAATGGAGATAATGACAGAATCAAGTGACAAATGAATGTAGGTATTTAACAGACACTGGGTAAATGCAACCTGTGATTCTTTCTGCTAAACAGTTCACTGGTGCAGCAAGCTTGCTAGCATCCCTCAGAACCGGCGTTTTCTTCTTCCACTGTAGTTGAGTTTTTACCAGCTAGCGATTAGGTTATCTAGCTTAGAGTTTCGGTGAGTCAACTTATAACTTGGTCTTACCTTTTCCTTGACATTCACATGAGTATTGAGTTCAGCCATCTTGCTTCTAGTGGAATAAGCCCTATAAAGAAAGGGGGAAGAGATTAAGGTTTTAAAACTTATTCCTCAATGTGTTATTTTTATGCTCTCTTCCAACACAGTAAACAATCTGATTCAGTCATAATCATAAATACTACTTTAGAATGTAACAATATTTCCAAGCAAAGCCTTTGACTTAGATATGTTCTAAAAGCACATTATGATAACTCTAGAAGACAATGCAAAATCTTTTATTCATATTGTATTGACATGAAAATTGACAAGACAGATGGGAGTGCACCCAAAATGTATTTCTTCTCATTGTGTAAAAGGAAAGGTGGTCAAAAACAGCCAAGGAGGGGAACTGTACTTTAGCTAGACACTCTCATCACAGCCCTCAAGTCCCAGAGCCCTTCTCAGCCCCTGGAGACTGCGCAAACACAGGGGTTCCCTGCATGTGCATAACGCAAGTGCTACAGAGACAGGAGAAAGGGCTCCAGGTGAGGCACAAGAGCATTTTTCTCCTTTCCCTCTCTCAGGAATGCTCTCACCTCCCATTTTAGCAGGGCAGTTTCTTTGCTGGGATCTTCGTCTCAGCTGGAGTCACCTCTCCTCAGAGAGGGCTTCGCCGAGCGCGCAGTGAGAGCTGCCACCTCCCTGCCTCTCTCTCCCAGGGTATACCAGCTTTAAGCTCGCTCTTCCCTCATGAGTAACCTTCTGGATCAGTGCGTGACCTCCAGCTTCTGATGGGCTCTAACCACTGCCAGGATCCTGCTTCCCTGAAGTTCTCTCCTTTCCTGCCTTTGGTGCCCAGGCTTTGTGAATGGCCCGCTCTGAGACTCTGAGGTCTACATTTCTTTTCTTTCTTTTTTTTTTTTTTGCTTAAATTCTTTTATTGGTACATTTTAGGTATACAGTACGTTTACATTTATCATCGGGTGCTTGTACCTGTACATGATGTGTCTTGGGTCTTATTTTTTTCCCCATCACCTATGTGCCCCTCACCCCCTCCTCTATGAGGTCTACATTTCTAACATCAAGCTGCGATGTCTTTGATTCTCTCAACTGGTCAAGATCTTTCACCATTACTATGGAAGGTAGAATTTAAGTCTTTAATAGCTTCAATCTTTTTGAAATAGAGAATAAATGACTTAGATGCATGAACAGATTAGTTCAAAAATTAACAGCTCCTCAAGCCACGATATCAACATATATGACCTATTTGGATGGTGAATGCTTTCTGTCACTCAAGAACCACAGAAGCTCTTTCTTCCATTCTTCCTGACTTGTGTTGTAAGGTGCTCCCTTCTCCAGAGGTGATACATGTCAGGGGAAAGCCTGCAAATTCTCTGATCTCTCCCCTACTACTGCTTTTTAAACCTGTGTCTTAAAGCCTAAATCCAGATCCATTATATTTTGGTAATTTTAGGATGAAAACTTGACAATATGCGACATTAACTCTATTATCAGCTCAATTATCCTCACATAGGGATCTACATAGGATATTATCAAATATTGGCAGCAATACAATTTTAGTTTTAGAAGTTTCCAAATGGCCCCAGAGCTGACACACTGGTGCACTACCAGGGGAGATGTCACCTACTTATTCCCACTAAGGGGACTCTTTCCTGCATGCTCTGCAGGGTGTCCATGCCCTTGAGAACAGCTCCCATTTCTTCTAATCACCACTGTCTATATTCTCTGACTTGCCATATGGGAGAAAGTCAAATAATACCTAAATTCTATTCTTAGGTATTTTCCCCCTGAAAGCTACTAGTAAAAGGCAAGGTTATTTTACAATTATCTCCAACAGGGAACAGAGATGGTGTGCGAGGCACAACAACAAATAATCGGGTGTTTCTGCTACAAGCTATGGGTGAGAAGTGGAGCCCTCGGCCCTCACTGCAAGGTGGTATGCAGTCACATCTCACGGCTTCGGGCAGTTGATTTTTTTATTCAAATGAAAGTTGGGGACTATGTGAACACATGATGTATGCAATGCATCTTCCAGTGTGTGGTGCGTGTAGGGGTGAACCTGTGTGACCACAGGAACTGAATGTGACTGCTGGCCTGGTGCTAAGGGCTGGGCCGGGCCTGTGAGCCATAGAGTTTTCCCTTGACTGCATGGGCTGACTTTCCTGGACACATTTAATGCTGCCATTATAGGTGTGTGAAATCTGAGAGGAAAAATTATGTTTTACTTTTGCATTTGAGCAATGATGCGTGGGTCTGGGTGTGCAGCACCTTCTAAAGCTGAAGTATTATAATCCACTGAGGAAGGAACCAGTGAGGATTCCACTGAGGAGATATTTCTGAGATCTGAGAAGATGGCAGCACTGGGCGGTAAGCTACATCCATAAGATACAATGTATATGTCCACACACACACACACACACACACACACACACACACACAAGCACGCGCACACGTCCTGGGCACCTCCCTATCTCCTTGACCTCAAAGTCTAACTCAAAGAGGACTTTTATTTGGTACTAATGCCAAGAGGATTAATCCCAATGTTATTTTTTGTGGAAGAAAAGTGCTGGTCATGAGGACAGAATGGGGCTATCACAGGTTTCTCAGATGTAAGGATAATATAAAAATAGTTGCAGAGAGCTGTTCTTTTCCATTTTATGCTCTGAACTCTTTTTTCCTCCAATGTGGAAGATGGTCTCTGTGGGCTCTACCTTCCAGGTGGATTCCAGTGCCTTTTCCAAACCATGGCTTTCTGCAGCCAGTGTATAGCAGAGGCTAGAAAGTTAGTTACAGCTTCAGTTATGAAAACTAATTAAAAGTTTTAATCAAAACAGATTGTAAATTTGGTTTGCCTTTAAAAATTAAGTAGCTATTTACCAATTTGGGTTCTATGCCTAAGGACACTTGCCAAGGAAACTGTGGGACAAGAAGTGACCAGCGGAGTGCCCTGCAGGTCCTCACTGAATGTTGGCACCTTCCACTTGGTCCCAGTCCCTCCAGAAGGTTCAGGTCACATCTCGTTCCTGCATGGCAGCACATGCTCACTAACTCCTGCAGCAGAATCCGTCCTCCCCATGACAAACACAAAACTGTGCTGAGCCCTAAGCTTTGAGGATTTGCTTTGTGTAACGAACTATACCTCCACAGTCAACTCCACTTAACCTGAATCTTAATGGTTTCCTCTAGGTAGTTAAGAAACTTCCTCCAGGGAACACATTTGTGCCTCCTCCCATGTGACCAGACTAGGGCTCAGCAATGTGAAGCCAAGTCTCCAAGCTGCAGGTATCTGGGCAAGCCCAAGAAGCCTCTCATGCTGTCATTTTTAAGTCTGCGGTGGGGTCAGCAGACCTTCCCAATTCCCTCACATCAGGCTTGGCTGCCACACTTGGTACTGTGCTGCTGCTGGACCTGACCACTGATCACTCCTGAACACACCTCAGTCACAAGAGCCTCAAGTCTACAGAGGGGCACAGGGATCTCTGACCTCTTGGGAGGGAACCTAGTTTTAAATGTTTACTATCAGCTGAGGTCATTCTTGAAACAGGTCAGTTACCGAGGGCTAAGCAGAGTCATGGCCAAGGACAGGATGCATACATGGTGGTGTACACCATATGGCCCAGGTGTGTCATCGACTGTGCCACCTAGGTGTGTGTGAATGTACTGTGCTCTGTGATATCTGGCGACAAATTCACCTCATGATGCTTTCTCAGCATGTACCCAAGATAAGTGACACACAGCTGTATTCAAATCTATGGATGCGTCCTCTAGGCAAATCAATTAATCAATACAGATTCATACACCCAGAAATATAAGTGAAGTATAACATTTCAAAGACTTCGATACCGCTTGAAGATTTTTTTCCTTAAAATTCGTATTTAGATTTCAGTAATAGCATTACAAATATATGTGGGTATCATAATATTTTAACATATATTTTAGAGGAAAATAAAGATCAAGAAAATTGTTGAAACTTATGAGCAAAAGATATCACAAAGCAACCACTGTACTATATCATCTCTATACTTCTCCATAATAAAATTAATATAAGACAAATATGGTTATCACCAATCTCTAAAACCACAGCTATATCAAACTGAACTCCTCATTTAACACAGATCTTACTACTATGCATTAATATTCGTTAAAAAAACCTACCAGCTTATAAACAAAGGTAAATACTTTTGATGAACAATAAACCTGAATAGTAGAAATTCTGGTAAATATGTTTGTTTCAGTATTAGTACAGCTGATCGGTACAGCTCAAGAAGCTTAGTAAGTATGTCAATCTGCTGGATTATCAAACTCCATGTATTTGCATCTCTCATGCAATCACACAGAGCTTGAAAAGCAGAACAATGTGTTGAAATGCCAACTGGCCTCATGACTTTCCCACTGGCCTCCCCTCCCTTTACTGAGGAGGCAGTAATAGTTTCGCTTTCCCTTCTCTGAAACCTTCTAGTGCTGTTAGATTCACTTTTCTGTTCTCAGATATTAATTATATCACTCTGCTTGAGCTGGATTTAGGGAGCCAAAGGAAAGACAAAAGAAAAACTTTAAAATAATAATTTCAACAATTTTTGGAGGCCATTTATGCAAAAATTTCCCCATGATTTGTAAAAATATAAAAATCATACTGCATATTTGGGGTTAACAGATTACTTAATTAATAATCATAATATGACCTGAGTAATGAGTGTCATAACTTACAGCTTAGAGAAGGCCAATGGTCAGGCTGGTCCTTGTCTTTTTTACTAATCATTGGAATCAAATGAGGAGCTTTGAAAGAGATTTCTGGGCCCCATGCCAATTGGGGTGTGTGTGTGTGTGTGTGTGTGTGTGTGTGTGTGCGTGTGTAGAGTGATGGAGAACAGCAACACCCAGGTCATTTTCGTGTAAAACTACCCTGAGCCAGAATAAGCTGGAAGCGTGAAATATACATTGGATTTTACGGGGTCAGTACAAAAAAAGGAAGGTAAGCTTATTAATAATATTACATTAATTTATATTGATTATATGCTGAAATGATGGCATTGATGGATTAGGTAAAACAAAATATGATACTGAAGT